GGACGAACGGACAGAACACAAGTAGCCAAACCATTAGAGATAAAGTGCAAGACAATAAAACATTAGGGAAGCAGATGATAGGGGATGAAGTACTGCTGCAGACAAAACGCCAAGTACGGACGAGGACATATGAGAGAGAGAAAAGGGGAAAATGAGCTAATATAGAAGATGGTGAACAGACTAGACAGAGGGAGAGCATCGGGAGCATAGCTGAGCAGGTATATGTGATCACAGCCAAGACGAGGGAAGCGGGTCAAGGGTGATATGGATACCTGAATAACCGATGGAGATGGAAGCAGAGAACAAAGAAAATATGAAGGAAACAAGCACTTTTTTAATCTTTGCCATTAGATTAAAAAGATTCTCAAATGTATGTCGTGACCCATGAAAAAAAAAAATATATATATATATATATATAACGATAGGAAAAATTGTCCTTTTTTTTTTTTTTTTAGTGATCTTTCCCTCTGGAACTCTTGATATCTTCGGCTGAGTTTAAAAATAGTCCGTTCTAAACCAGCTGTTTAACGGGAGAGTAGATTTTTGTCTTGCTTTGATTTGTTCCTGTAAGATAGCTGTGAAGTAAAGCCTGGGTATATGGGGGTATGGCAGAACGAGAGAGAAGGTCCTGTGGGTCTAAAGTGTTCAAAACAGTGGTTCAACAGGAGCATATGTAGGTGAGACAGAGAGCCAGGCGAGACACGGAGGGACGGCATATGAAAGTAGAAATAGTTGTCGAGTCCTAAAAGAGCGCAGGCGCCATGGCAGGAACAAGTAACGATCGGAAGGCGAGCATCGCAGCAGCAAAAGAATCAACTGGACCCGATATAAAACGGTTTGGAGTGGAGAAGAAGGCCCGAGATACCAATGGTTAGTTGTAACGAGAACTTTCCCTGGACTGAGAATGGCAGAGAGAAGTAAAGACCAGGTCGTTCGCATCGGTCCAAGAAAAAAAAAAAGACATCGGAGAGGTTGAAGGAAATGTAGAGGTGCTGAGTGGTGCATGAGGAAGGATGCATCCCCGCGATCAACCTTGACAAGCGCATCATCTTAGCTAACACGAAACGTTACGAGTCATTCTGGACTCGAAACCTACCACAACACAACGCCTTCATTATCTTCTGCATGAACGTAGGCTCTGGTTCTGGAGCCCTTCGCGGTTGTTGTGCCTGACTCGTCATGGCCTGGTTCCCTGGGGTGTTGACTCGATTTCCGGGAAGATGTAAATTAGAGTTTTGGAATTGAGCTTGTGTCGAAGCTGTAGGTGTCGTAGCCTCGAGTCCCCCCGCCACTCCGTTTTGACGTTTGACTTGCGGCACGCCTGAGGCGTTTGGCCGCTCTCGCGCTTTCCCAACTCCGGCTTTTGCAGGAGAAGGGGGCGGGGGCTGCGCGGCGTTTAAACGGTCAGCAGTGACACCAGGCCGATGGGATGCTCGGGGGGCTGCAGAACCATGGAGGTCACGGGCAGAGCTGTTAGGCAGAGCATTGGCGCCGTGCAGGTGGTGGTGAGATGAGTATGGCTTTGCCGCCTCCCAACCCTTGCCTCCATTAAGCTTCATCCAGTCGTACTCTCCATCCTCTACATCTCCCGTGTTCTTGAGAGCCTGGGTGAAAAGGTCACGCAGATAATCGTAGTCGGGTGTGTCCTCGAACCCGAGGTTGCGGACGTACGTGAGGTATTTGGTGAACTCCTCTGTTGACGTTTGGTTAGCTGGGAAGGGCGTCTCCTTCAGACGCATACGGATAACAACGTACCAGGGAAGCCTTCACAAAGATCCTTGATGACGGTAGTCTGTTTCTTCTCTCCGATCTTTTCGTACTTCTGCTTGTTAGTAGCAGCCTTGAGTCCCTGCCATGGTAGACCACCACGTAGGAAATACATGAACACGTGGCCGAGGGCTTCAAGATCGTCACGACGTGACTGCTCTCTGCCCAAGTGGGTGTTGATACTCATGTACCGAGCAGTACCTGATAGGGACTTTCTCTCTCGGTAAGGGATGTGCTGTTTGGTTTTGGGGTCTCGGTACTGTTTAGCCATGCCGAAGTCAACGACATGTATGACATTGCTGGCCTTCGAGTTGGGCCGGCCAATTAGAAAGTTGTCTGGTTTGATATCACGGTAGATGAGGTTTTTCTCATGTATAGTTTGTACTCGCGACAGCTAAAAGATGTAAGTTAGCTGCTTTACGTTGAATACAGCACACATTGGTGACGACGTACCATCTGCTTTGCAACCATGACGACTGTCTTTATGGAGAATCTGCGGTTACAGTGGTCGAAGAGGTCCTCCAAACTGGGTCCAAGCAGGTCAATGACAAGGATGTTGTGTAGACCTTCCTGGCCAAAGTAGTAGACATTGGGGATACCGGCTACACACAAGGCTGTCAGCAAGAAAGACTATGTCGAATTTGCAAACGACAATAAAAGAAGCGACAACGACTTACGGCATCCAACGAGTATCTTGTATGTCCGATACTCATCTCTAAGCTGTGGAGCATCACTCTTCCGGGGTTCCTATACAAGTTGCAAGAGTAAGAGATTTCCATTTTCACACAACCAAGAGCCCGACATACGGGGTTCCAAAAACAGAGGAGTCTCTTTTTTCCTTTTAAGGAGAGGGAGGGTAGTAGTAAGAATAAGAAAGAGAACGACGTACAAACTTGATGGCGACCTGCTGGTTGTTGAGGAGGTTTGTGCCTTCGAAGATGACGCCAAAGGAGCCTTCACCGATCTTCTTCCCGACCCGGTAATGCACACCGACAACGTTTGACGAACTCGACGACATGGCAGGCAACGCAGTAAAACCGACGAGTCTATCACTGTATATTCTTTTTCTTTCTTTTCTTTCTTCTTTAAAGAGCAGTCTACCGGGTATATGTGTCGCTATCTAGGAGCAGAACGAGATGGTGAGGTCGAAACAGTCCGGGCGTTGGTTTATTAGGGGGCACAAAGGGCGAGGCGTTCAAAGGAAGAAGAAATCGAGTCAACCACCTCGAGAGCCAGGAACCGGCGATGGCAGCGACTGCAGGCTCGTCCCAGAGGGCAGAGACTGAGGACTACGGCTTCGCAGTGCCCTGTACTCTGTGCTGAGCGCTGGGGGAGCAGCCAGCAGCGGACGAGGGGAGGTCGGTCAGGGAGCAAGACGCAGCCAAGCAGACAAAGAGCAAGGCCAGCGAGGCCAGCGAGAGAGGGAGAAGATGAGGAGGAGGAGGAGGAGGAGCGAGAGCAGGCGAGACGAGGGACCGTCCACGACCGGCTTCAGCGTCAGCGTCACTCAGGTCGGCTGCTGAGCAGGAGGTCTTCTGGGGGGTTTGCAGAGCGAGGAAGAGGAAGAGGAGGAGGAAGAAGAGACGACGCAGGCGACGGAGAGGAACGAGGACGAGCCCAGGAAAGGCTTTCGTCGCTTTTGCTTTGCTCGTCTCGAGCCGGGGAGAGGCAGCGGCCGTATCGGTATTACCGCAGGACGGCACGGAGGACCCCTGGGTGCGCGCGCGGCAGCTCTGGCAGGCCTCGGTATCGCGGTAACGCTGCTGTACTCTACGCCTCTTGGTAATCTATTCGCCCGCTTATTGGTCAGGCTGGTAATTAGGTCACGGGATCTGCCCAAACAGGAAACCTTGCTCTCCTTTTCTTATTCTCTTTTGATACGCGACGACGACGAGGACGAGGAGGACGCAGATGAAGCCGCAGAGGAAGTCGGGAGATGGAGCTGGAGAAGAAGGAGAAGAAGACATGTAGCTGCTGCAGACGACGGTTGGCCGACGAGAAGGGTCAGCAGTTCCTCCATCCTGACCCTGATACGCAGTGCATGCAGGGGCTGTGACGGGCTCTGCGCCAGAACGCCCGTAGCTTAAGCGCCAAGCGAAGTGTTTATTCATTTCTACGCAGCGCCCAAGTTATCAATCTGAATGGCTGGCTTCATGTTACTGGGGATAGTAGGGATTGGATTCCTAGCCTGCGAGAGCCTAGGGCCAGTGTAGTCGAGTTCAATGGCGATAGATGGGGGGGAAGTTTATAGAGGAATATCGTTATTTCGAGTTGCGGGCTATGATCTGTCCTTGCGTCTTAACTACCATCAAATACAATATCTACAATCGCCAGTGGATAGCATTCTATAGACCCATGTTGCTGCCTATTTACTACTCTGATGTGTTGTGTTCGAGGAAAACTGGTGCTCTGGCCTATCGATCCGGTAGCGGAACGCAATAAGAGGCACCCAAGTGAATGAGAAACGACCTCGTTGATAAAAAGCTGATAGATGATCAAATGGTTCAACACAAAGAGTAACAATAAGACAAAACGGGTGACCAAGTAGACAAGTAAATGATACACAGCGTCCAGTGTTCAGCTCCCTCATGTTCCAGCACGGGAATATCCAAATGTCGAATAACGCCGGTATCAGACTAATTCCAAACGTCAACCTTCTCCCCTTTTATGACGGACACCAAATCACGCACCCCGTGCATTGTCGTCCCCCTCCTCCTCCTCACTACTCGAACCACTGCCTTCACTCTCCCCCTCACTTCCGGGGTCGTAGTCATCCTCCTCTTCATCTTCTTCGTCTGCTTGTTGGTTCTCGAGTTCCCTCTGGGCCTTCTGCAGCTCGGATTCTTCTTCCTCTGCTTGCGGAACGCTCCCGTCATTCATTCCACTTCCATCGTCAGCCCCATCCCCGCCCCTTGGTGCATTAATATTAAGCCTCTTTGCACGGCGCTCCTCAGCTAGACTGGCATCCTGTAAGCCATGTTTCTTGATATATGCATCAATCCCCGGATAGTCAGCCTGGTCAATCATTGAGAACTCCAGCTCCTGCATTTCGTCTGGCTTAGCGGCCGAGCGTGTTGTTATGTTCAGGTTAAATGTCCGCTGAAGCACAGCTGTATATGAAATAGACTCCACATTTTCAAATGCAATAAACAGAACAGGTTTCTTGAAACCAAAGAAGATCCCGCTAGCTAGGAAGAAGAGGTACCCTGTTCAGATCAGACGAAACCAGTTAGAAATGTCAAACGATATGGATAGCTGATACAATGGATAGTATACCTTCTTTACTGCCTCGGAAGGCCTTGACGTGATATGCCTTCTCGGACTTTCGATGAGCTTCGGGGGTGGCGCTCACAAACTCCTTCTCGTCAGGACATAATACTTTGACATGCTTCAATTTTCCGTCTAGGAAACTCTGGAAGTATGTCTGATATGTCTCCGCTAAGCTCGCACTCTCGGACACTGGGGTTCCCGACCCCAAATATGCACTTCGAGGAGGTGCATCAGGCACTGTCCAAACCATAGGTTCAAACGTAATCACTCCGTCCGGAGCACTGGTGATTCCATCCTTGTACTCCGGTATAATGCAGAAATTGAACTGTCGTTGAGCCTTCTCCGGGACTGGGAGGCAAAGAACATGTTCTACATCCCGAAAAGTAATATGAGTATCGTTCTAGAGAAATTCCGGGTTCAAAGTGAGGCAGCTCTTACCGATTTTGCCAACAGGAACGCCAAATTCAACCTCAGCAGAAGCCTGATTTCTAGCTCTGATATATTCATTCCCGCCCCCCAGGTCTTGCGTAAACTCCAGCCTGAGCTTCTTTCTTTGGGGGATGGTAAAAGAGAGGTCTTGCACGTATAACTGCAAATCGGCGTCCCCTTGTATGCCAACAATCAACGCAGAGTCTTCTCCTCCCATCGCCCCAGGCGCAGCAGACCCAGCGAATCCATTGGCCACTTTCCTTTTCTTAGAAGCAGGTCCTTCAACTGGCGTGATATGTTGTTGTTGCAGGCTTTCCGTAGCGGGTGCTATGCTGTAAGCGCTGTGAAGCTGGCTCTGGTGAGCTTCCCGTTCGGAGCAAATGAACCTTGCGATGTCTTCGAACAGACCGACGCATTGGGGATACTCGGCTGAATTTTGGAAGAGACAGCACAGTTAGCCAAATATTCAAGCACATGACATACTCTTTTATCATCTCACAATTCAATAGAGGAGAGATCTTTGTTCGTTTTTTCGCGTTTGTCAAAGCGGTTTTGGCCATTCCCCGCGCGTCGTGGAAATGAAAAGCTCAACACTCACAGATAGCTTCGAGAATGCGTCCTTGCAGGGCGGGATTCGCCTTGAATGCCTTGTCTATAGCGGCTTCGTTCACTGTGAACCCCATGTTGCTGGTATATATCAAGTAAGCCCCTGGTGTTGTAGTGGCTGGTTTAAAAGTAGAAGCAGGCTGGAAGCTTAAGAAGTTGGTTAAAGATTTTCGCGGGCTGCGCGCAGACAAACAACCCGTACATTAAGAACCTATCTTTAACAACATGCGAAGTGAATGGTACTCGGCAGATTTGCCGTTATGCCTACAAAAGAAGGTGATGTGTATAATGAGGGAATGACTATGTTATTGTAAATCACCAGAAGGCAATTTAGACCCTGTCGCATGGGAGGACTTTTAGCCAGCAGAAATGACAACAGAATGGAAGCGCTATTTCAAGAATTATCGTACACGTAAAAGATTCTAATACAGCTTGATAAATATACAGTCCCGATGAGCCCTTATCGAAGCCTTGGAAAGATTGACAACTTGCAGGGCAGATTATGCGGTATTTGCCCTGCGTCAGCCCTGAAGCTTCTGCTGTTGTCGTTGCTGCAGCTTCTTGGCCATGAAATTCTCAATAAAATTGGTAGTCTCACCAGATAGCTTGAAGTTGCCATTCTCGTCCTTCTCCTGCTCTCTCTGCTGCCTCTTTTCCTCAGCCAGCTTGGTCAAATACTCGGTTTGTGGAGTCACGAGCGTCCTCTGCTTCGACCACTGTTCGAATGCAGCTTCTTCCTCCTTCTTCGCAATGTATTCTGGATCATGCCGGGTGCGGAACTTCGAGTATTTGTTTCTCAGCTCGTCTATAACTGTGCTGGGCATTGGGTAGGTCTGCAGCGATGGGAGGTACGATTTGTTTTCCACTTCAATCTGGAGGGTATCAACTGGATGATCTTTAAAGTCAGGCTCTTCCGTTTCGGGCCACGGTATCTCAATGTCTAATCCCGATATGTACCGTGTGTGTCGTGGAGTGGTTGAGCCGTATGGACGGTCTAGGAAAGGGCCGGCTCCGTAGGCATGCTTAACAACGACATCCTTCACCGTGTTGGTAGCAGGGTCCTGGAGAGGAACCACAAGCCGGACATCATCAAATGAAATTGGAACGGGATACGAGCGGTATGGACGCTTATCGCTGTCTTCTGCTAACGCAAACGCAGGGAATTCCACATCGAACTGGGCAAAGTAGAGAATTAGCAACTGGGTCAAAAGAAGGCCAGGCGTCCGCAGGAAAAAATTACCATATTCACTCCTTCAACAGTAACACTTTGCGATTCTTCATCTACCTGAAGAATCTTGCCAATTTTTCCCTTATCCCTCCCTCTGACCATACACACACGGTCACCGGGAGCAAAAGTCACATATTTCACCCTCTTCGCCTCGGGGACCTTGGGCATCCGTAGACGATTGGTTGTAACCGTTCCGTAGAGCACATCGCGATCGCCAAAATTCCTTCGAGGAGCCAATGGCCCCTTCAACCAGTCCTCCCGGCGGTTCTTTCGCTCCTCAATTGCTTCATCCAGTAGACTCCGGTTATACGCAAATTTCTCCTTCAGGTCTCCTTGAAGTTTGTTGCGGCGGTCCTTTTCAAGAACTGCCTTTGCCTTGCGTTTAGCCTGGTTGCTCGCGAGAGCAGCTCGCCGTAATACTTTCTCCATTGGTGTCTGGTGGCCGCAATGCGTCGTTCATCGACATAAAAACCAGCCCAGCCGAAGTCCAGTTTTCTCCAAATGCTCACAATTTTTGACTTGATTAGATAATCATGATATCTCTTGGCGCGAGCTTCTGCCCAAAGAAGCAATCGACGACGACCATTTGGATTTTTGGGAAGACGACGTCCGTATCAACGCTGGATGAATAGTGGCCTGGATGGCGTTGAAAAGGGGAATAATGCGTAGCTGGAGATGTGAAGCTACGATATAGAGCTCATTCCGTTTTCTATCAGCCGATTTCCCATCTTGATGCACACGCCAAATCCATTGTCGCGTCTCGCTAAGAAGCTAACTATGAAATCAGCGTAAGATTAGTTACTCCTAGCTCCATGTAACTACGCTGCACTCCGTCCTAGCTATGGAAGACTAATATCCCCTTGCAGGCGGAAGAAGGTTCTGCTCTCCCGTCTTCTAGCTGGCCGCGTCAGTCAAGACGCTATTGAACGACAAAGAAACTGTCTTATAAACAACAACACTTTCATCACTGTGGCTGTGTGGCGGTGCGCTGCTCGAATCCCTGCAATTGACATGAAAAGAAAATAGTCGAGAGCAGAAGAGTGGACAGGACCCCCTTTCAATCGTCAAAAGTATGAAACCCGTCGCATTAAGGGAGGTGAATTGTTGCAATAGGAAGATGGAGAAAAAGGAACGAAAGTCAGGCTTGGTCCAAGCCTCAACGTCCCGACAAGGATCCAATAAAATAATGGGCACCTCAAACAGTGACTCTGAAAGAGTGGTGAATGATTGGCTCCGGAGGTTCAGATAAGGGGTACAATGTGGAGGTTTCATCACCACAAGCCACAATTTCCCAAGGCACCGCCACCAACCGGGTTGTCAATTATCCTTTTAGTGTCTGCTTATCTGGCAGTGCCCTGGCTGACAGGAGAAGAAGTGAGATTTTGACAGGTTGGGAATGGGACTCCTGCGTCGTGTGTGCTGGTAAGCTTCCTGGAGAAAATGGAGCTAACGGAGTGAGCTAACTAGAAACTCACTACGGAGTACTTTGAGCTCGAGAGTGAACCTCGCTAGGCTGGGCGGGTTACTCCGGCTTTCTTGTCCTCTTTACACATGTGACTCTTGGGAATGTTTTCTCGATCGCTTTTCTCAAAGAGTTTTCCAGCCTCAACTCGAATATTCGGCTTTTCCTCCTTTTCTTATCCACCTCCACCCCTCCCTGAAAGGGAAAAAAAAAAAGGTCCCGGCGCAGCTTTTACTTTCCAACCAGGTCGCAGCAAGGCAGTCCTTCCTCCCCCAACTGTCTCACAGCAGCCAACTGGCTAGAGGGCGCCTATCCCTGTGAGGTGCGAGGCCAACAGTGACTGACGCTAGCCGATGGATGGCGTGACCCTCAGCTCTTATCTCATACATCTGGCTCAGAGGAGTGTGCTATGATATCGGCGACATCTGGCTCTTGCTATAGTATCACTTTTTATTCTATATTTAACAGATAGTTATCCCGCCCTAGCCACGGTTACGTATGCTGCGGTTAGCGACGACAACTGCCCGTTCAACCAGCAAGCGGCAAGCAATGCAGAGTGAATATAATATGAGTAACCCTCGTTAAATACATAACTTATATAAAGTCAATGCATTATATAAGCAGCCCAAGGTAAGGCTGAGGCGGCCTGCAGCCACTCACGACGACGTAATCGGGCCCGCGCTATCTCCACGCACGCACCTGCCGGGCTGCCAAACGCGCGTGGGTGGACGTAGGCGTCGCGGTGCGTGTGTGCAAGGCGTGACTAAGCCGACCAATAGCGCTGGGGCCCCACTTAAAATCGCCCAAAGGATGCAAAATAGCCCAAAGCGGGCTAGAGCCAAAAACCAGCGACAAGTGTGCACGCTCAACCTCCCGTTGAAACAACCTCCAGTTCTTCATTCTCTTCCTTCGAACCATCACCTCCATCTCAGACAGCGACAGCCCATCCCAGATCAGCCCCAGCACGCAGCAGAAAGCAGCTCCAGTAAGGCTATCCTCACAGACCTCTCCCTCTCGCAGCTCGTTTCCCGTCCTCTTGCTGCTCGCCTCGATCCCTTTTCCGCCTTGCTCTCCCTGCTCTCTCCCCTTGTTGCCAGCTCTTCCAGTCACTGCTCCTTGACCCGAAAACATATAAAAAGACGAAGAAGAAGATAACTGTATGTAACTGCTTGCACATTACATTTCTTCCCCTCCTCCAGCATCCCTCTTTGCCACCAGCCTCCGGTTCAGTCCCCCTCGTTGTGTCGTGGACCCCGTCGAGTTTCCTTGGCCGTATCCCTTGCCCTGTCTGCCTGTTATCATTTTTCAGCTTGCTCTAGAAAACTGATAAGAAGAACCCGTTTTGGGTTGTTGTCACTACAGATGGCCGAGATCCGTCGTAAGCTCGTCATCGTTGGCGATGGTGCCTGCGGAAAGACTTGTTTGTTGATGTAAGTAAACACCGTTGTCTCACACCGGATCTAGCTCTCACTCTCCCTCCCTCCCGTCTTTATGCAGCGTGTTTGCTCGTCATATGCCTTGGAACATCCATACTAATCTTTCTATAGCGTTTTCTCGAAGGGCACTTTCCCAGAGGTTAGTTCCTGCTCAATATTTGCTACCGCCGATCCATCTACCGCGCGTTTCGGGCTGTGATTATAACATCCAATATCTTGACTAACACCACCTCTCTCTCTATCAAAAGGTCTATGTCCCAACTGTCTTCGAGAACTATGTTGCCGATGTTGAGGTTGATGGAAAGCATGTTGAGCTCGCCCTATGGGATACTGCTGGCCAGGAAGATTATGACCGTCTTCGCCCACTTTCATACCCAGACTCCCACGTCATCCTGATCTGCTTCGCCATCGATTCCCCAGACTCCCTTGACAACGTCCAAGAGAAGGTAAGAAAGCTGCATCTAGCCGATAAAACAACAGTCCAAAACAGTTTGTATCGGATTGCTAACGGTGTTGTAAAAAAATTTTTAGTGGATCTCTGAGGTCCTTCACTTCTGCTCCGGCCACCCTATCATTCTCGTTGGATGCAAGAAGGATCTTCGACACGACCAACGAACCATAGAGGAACTGCACAAGACCTCCCAGAAGCCTGTAACCCCTGAGCAGGTATGTGATAGTTTCTCTCTTCCTATTGGTGACTTTCAACGTTTATCTAACAAACGTCTTAGGGTGAGGAGGTCCGCAAGAAGATTGGCGCATATAAGTACCTGGAGTGCTCCGCCCGAACAAACGAGGGTGTCCGTGAAGTTTTCGAGTCAGCCACCCGTGCTGCCCTGCTATCCAAAGAGAAAACCAAGAAGTCCAAGTGTAGGCTTTTGTAAGGAGTTGTCCGTCTACCCGGTCGAGGTCGATTCTCTTCAAAGCGTGCAGTTTTTTTCACCTCCAACAGTCGCCCAGGCGGACAGGACTTTTGACAAACGAGATCAAGAATGCGTGAACGCAATGTGTCCCTGACTATTGACCCTCTACCTTGTTGATGTGGGTTGAGGGTGGTCTGTACCCTACAAGCAATATGTGTCTCATGGCGATTTCTGTCTGGTTATACGAGATTTGCCCTCACCTTGTTGTTCTCGCCCATCTGAGGATCCGGATAGCAGCATGTCAAGGGAGAGAGCGTAGTCTTTTTTGCCAGGCACAACATTCGGCGATCATGCAGCTTTGCTCTCTCAAACACCACGAGTACAGTTCCGTCTGTCTTCCCTTTAAATCCTCTTACTATTTTCCTATCTCAATTTCCCCTTTATTCTCCTTTTCTTTTCTTTTTCCTTTTTCTCTTTCCTCTTTTGTCTCTAATTATGTTTTCTTTTAATTTGTGAGCCCGGAACCAGCAAGCTGCCATCTATCAAATCATCCCAGCTTTTCTCCTCTACCTTGGACGGAGTATTAAAGAGGACAGCGATAAACGAGGACTTGTGTGTCTTTTTATACCTAGTTGCCTATATCCCCTCATGTTGCTTGCTAGTTCACACTCAATTCTGCCCCTTCTGGAGCGAAAGAAAATGGAAAAAACACCCAGAATCGACCTTTTATACCTACCAACACACAAATTACTCGAAGAAACACCATGGAGATACCACG